TTTTTTGTGCTTGATTTGAATTTGGCGTTTGTTTTCGTTAAACCTCGAATATGTATGTATTAGCATATATACACATATACATATACATATGTGTAACATAAAGCCTTTGTTTCTATTGCCTTAAATGTCATTAATTTATGAATAACACGAAGGTTTAATGAATTTCCCTTCCTCTCTCTCTCCCGCACACACACACTCCAACAACAACACTACAGAATAGCATCAGTGAAACGGACATTTCCAGCCAGCAATTGCTAGCCAATAATAAACTAGAAAACTCTACCTCCTTCCAAAACATAGGCGATGCAGCAGAACAAACAGCAACAACAACAACAGCAGCAACAATAGATACGACAACAAAAACGTCATCAATTAGCACCGCTAATGCAATCACACCAGCAGATGGTGAGGTCAAGCAAAACAAACACAATGCACAACAGCAACAACAACCACAACAAGAAGCCGAGCAGAATGTGGAATTGACGAAACCAGAGGATAAGAAGACCAATTAAAAAATGTGGCAGCTCCACCAGCCCGAGCGGCGCTGCAGTGTGTTGCAGAGTGTGCTTGGTTTTTTCAATTAAGTGAAACCTGATATTTTCAAGGTTTGATTAGTACACAAAATGTAGAAAAAAAAATTCAATAATTAAGGAACGAAAAGAAATTGAAGGAAATTGCATACATACGTACATAAATACATACATACAGATGTATGTAAGTGTAGTGAAGTAAAAACAAAAACAAAAAATTTAACATTTTCAGAAAATATATCAAAATGAATTTTTTTTATTTGTGATGTAACAGAAAATGCTCACATAAAGACCAACAACAACAACAATTTTTAATAAGAGCAAAATATGGCGTCTTTCAAAGCGGCAAATGTGTTGCATGTTTAAAATACGTAGTAGACCCTCTTTAATTTTTTAAAGCAACAAAAGCACTTTTCATTTAATATTAGTACTAAAAATAGTGAAAAATATAGAAAATGTAATGAATTGTATTTTTAAGCAACTCTTTTTATTTATTGCAATTTTTAAATAAATGTGTGATTGTGTTTTTTTAATACAAAGTATAGTAACTACGACTATAACCACAAGTAATTTTAATCGTATGCTAAAGCAAGCAAATGTTAAAGGACACACCTAATGTGAAGTTTTTAAAAAATCGATTTTTTCATATTTCTATAGTTTGTACCTTTAAGGATAAGGTAATAAAATTTTTAATTGATTTTTCAAACAGTTTTTGAGTTACTGACTTCTAAAAAGTAGCTGCTCAGTTCTATCAGCTCTTTTTCAAATTTGCTTGGGAGATTTTTTCCAAATTTTTCAAATTCGCTTGGGAGAATTTTTCTAAATTTTTCAAATTTGCTTTGGAATTTTTTTTTCAAATTTGCTTGGGAGATTTTTTCTAAATTTTTCAAATTTGCTTTGGAGACTTTTTCCAAACTTTTCAAATTCGCTTGAGAGATTTTTTCCAAATTTTCCTGGGAGATTTTTTCTAAATTTATTTAATTTGCTTGGGAGAGTTTCTCTAAATTTTTCAAAGTCACTTTGGAGATTTTTTTAAATTTAATTTGGAGATTTTTTCAAAATTTTTCAAATTTGTTCTGGAGACTTTTTCTACATTTTTCAAATTTGTTTGGGAGAATTTTTGAAATTTACTTGAAATATTTTCCAAATTTTTTAAATTTGCTTTGGAGATTTCTTCCAATTTTTCAAATTTACATATGAGATTTTTTTTTAAATATTTTTTCCAAATTCGCTTGGGAGAAATTTTCTAAATTTTTCAAATCTGTTTTGGAAATTTTTTTTCAAATTTGGGAGATTTTTTTCAAAAATTTCAAATTTTCTTCGGAGATTTTTCTAAATTTTCAAATTTTGTTTGGCGAAATTTTTCAAATTTACTTGAGATATTTTTTCTAAATTTTTCAAATTTGTTTTGGAGATTTTTTACAAATTTGCTTGGGAGAATTTTTCTGATTTTTTCAGGTTTTTTTCTAAATTTTTCAAACTTGTTTGGGAGATTTTTAGAGCATTTTTAGTTTGAGTTTTTATCCACGGCAAAGGCCAGATCACTCAAGTAGTACAGGATATTGTTTTAGTGTGGTCGAGTTCACATTGAACTAAAAAAATAACAAACTTTTTCAAAAATTTTGCTGTAAAATATAGGCATAATATAAACTTAAAGTTTTAAAATAATTAATGAATGTAAAACATTTTATTATTTCTTTTATATAATCGACTTATTTTTTGACTGTCACACTAGGTGTGCCCCTTAAATACTGAGCGAACAATTGGGAGCGAGAAATAAGTATGCGCATAGTGAGTGAGATTATAGAAGCTGATATATTTTTACATGAATACTACATTACAGTGTAGGCGCCTAAATGTATGCTACAGTATATTTTTGGTAACTTATAAGCTGTAAACTAAAGAGCGAAAGTTTCTTTTTTTCGCATTTCAGTACTATGTATGATTGTGCTCCTAACATATGTGTGTATATGTGACCTGGTCTACGGAAAGGGGGTTTAGGTGTCAAAAAATCAATTTTCACTTTTTAGTGGATTCGGATGGAAGATGAGATGCTTTTTTTAACAGCTGTTTCCCAGAAAACTAGTTTTCGCACCATAGCTCCCTTGTCGTAGACCAGGTCACATACATACATATATACAAGTTTTTGTTTATATTTGATCTTTTTTATTTTAATCTTTTAGAGTTGTTGTTTTGAAATATTTGGCAGAGACATTAACCCAAGCGTAGGGCACTTGAAGTAAAACAACAAAATGCGAATTTGCAGAAAATGGAACTGAAAGCGTAAAAAAATTAACCGTAAATGCATACCTATGTAAATACCCACATAACTAGCTACAATTTTTAACCCCATACATATATACATACATGTACGTACATATATGAAAACATCTAGCATTTACTTACACTAGTTTGCGTTTAAACGAAAATCGAGACAAAATGTAAGAATTGAAGAATTGAAATTTAACAATGAAAAATGCACTAAAGGCAACACCAAAAGCAATGGAATACAACCATGAAGCCAAAAAGAAGAAATATTTTCTGCATTTATATGCATCCAACTACATTTGCCACTAAAATAACAGTATTCATAGTTGTGTGTACCAGTGTTCTTTTATTTTGTATTTTTCTGTTTTAATTGAATCAGTGTGCCACTAGACCACGGTGAGCGTTTAACAGTTGACCGCATTTCCTATAGCGAATGCCATGAAAGTTTGAGGAAAAAGCGCGTTTGTCGAATTTTTTTGACGGAATAGCGCGAAAATTTGAGTGGAACAAACATAGAAAATATCGAAAAAATTATGAAATAAAAACTCACATACATACATACCAAACTTAAAAGAGTAAAGAAAGCACTAAATAATGGTAGTTGTGTAATCGATTAAGTAAACTTTGTAAAACCTTTAACTAGCAAATGAAGGATTTCATTAGCAAAACAAACTGTAATACAAGAATAACAAAAATAGAAATAAATTAAATAATAATAAATGCAAAAATAGTAATTGAATGTCAGAAAATGTTCATTGTTTGTGTAATTTTTGTGCTTCTTGGTGATTGGTCTTTAGCAGATCGAGCCTAGCGAAGTTTTAATGGCGGATATAGTATGTTAAATTATAAATTGTTGTTTTTGGTTGGTCTCTGCAGATTAATTTAATATCTTTTAAACAACTGAAAGTATTTTTGTACATAATTGATACCTATAAGCGACTTTTCGTTGCTTGGTTGAAAATGAAGATCGAAAGAATGCCTGGCTACAAATGGTCTTCAAAATTGGGTTAGGTTTTCTAATGATGAAAATTGGTGATTGAATTTTTATCTAAACACTTTACTTTTATCGTGGTGCATGTATAACAAAACATTCAGCAATATTCCCTACAATTCTCTTATCCCGGCAAAATATTTAATATTATGTATAACCTGTTCGGCCCTATAAGAAGAATAACTGTGGTTTGACAAAAATATTTAAGCGTCTTGTGTGCATCAATATCGATGGTTCGATGATCCAAAATGACAATAAGTGTTAATGTGTTGGAAATTCTGTATATCAATAATTCGATACTTATAGTAATTCTAGTCTGGTGAGTTTTTTAATAATTTCTTTGGTTTTTTCATATAAATATATGCTATCTAAGTTTACGAATCACTAAAAAAGTAGACCTCAAAGATTGACCGATAGCAGAGTTTTATGCTAACAACTTCATTCATTTTTGATTTGTATAGTTTAATACTAAAGTTTAAGAATCAGATGGCAGGGCATTTAAAAATTTGTTACATGTTGGCTGGGTTGTATATAATAGAAATGCTTGAGGGGCGCCACACACCAAAATAAAATCGATCTTGTAGTAGCCAAGATATAGGATTTCACACAAGGGTGGACGCCTATCGTCCGATGCAATAACAGGTGATCCAAGTAGAGGCACTCTTTTTGGCAGATCACGCGTTAGTCGTCAAGCTGTCACATAATTTTTGTCACTGAAAGACTTACGTATACAAATCGTCCACCTTTATTACAAAATTTCACGTTCTGTAAAGAATGTGTGTCGCGCGCTTTGCTCAAATTATGGTCAACATAATCGCCCTACTGAGCGTACTATTCTCAACACCATCATCCAAATGAATTCCAGCATTCATTTTTGGATAACATTCAACCGAATAGACAACGTCCAGCTCGTGGTGAAGAAAATATAACAGCCGTAGCTCAGAGTGTACATGAAGACCGTGGAAAGTCGATACGGTGCCGTTCGCAGCAACTCGACCAGACGTACGGAACGACTGAGCATTTTACGTCAAAATTTTAAATTAAAGCGCATAAAATACAGCTTGTGCCAGAACCAAGCATCTTCGCTTTCGAGCCAAATTTTGTTTAGCGCTGAGGCCATTTCTGGCTCAATAGAAACAAAAATGACACAGATCAGCCAAAGATCCAACCAAAGAGTTGCCATATCAACCAGAAAAAAACGATTTGGTGTGATTTGTGAGCCAGTGTAATCATCGGTCCATGTTTCTTCAAAAATGATGTCGGTGAGAACGTAACCGTCAATGGCGACTGTTATCGCGTCATGATAACCGTCAATTTGATACCTGAAATTGAAGCTGGTGATTTTAGTGACATTGGGTTTCAACAAGAAGGCGCCACTTCCCACACCTAGCATCAATCAATGGATGTATTAAGAGAACACTTCGGTGAGCAGATAATTTCATGTTTTGGTCCGGTCGATTGCCCACCAAGATTATCATACAATCATACCATTGGACTTTTCCGTTAGGGATATACTATATAAAGTCTAAAGGACACTCGAACCATTCCGCTTCGATTCAGGCCTTGGGGCAAAGCATTACGCGTATCATTCGGCAGTTACCAGTCGAGATGCTCGAACGATTCGTAGAAAATTGGACTCAATGGATAGATCATCTGAAACGTAGCCGCATCCAAATTTCAAAGAAATAATCTTCTAAAAATAAATGCCAAATAATGTTCTTTCGAACGATAAGAAACATTCCCCATTAAATTTGAAGTTCCTGTGCTTTTTCTTTAAAAAAAAAAGTAGGGKAAATCAATCTAAATTAGCGCTTTAAGCGAGCAATGGTCGGTTAACTGTTCAATTAAATCCTGTGCGAAAAGGCTATTACAGTAAAACTTACTGTTTACTGTTACGCCATTGTAA